CTGCCGTCCTCTTCTCCTTTTGCCTTCAATCTTTCCCAGCATCAGGGTCTTCTCCAAAGATGTTAAGCAAACAAACATTGGGTTCTGAACTTCCCCTGGCACAGCTGGTTTGAAGTTTCTCTTAGTTACAAACCTGGGTCAATAATCATCTCTTAGACCAGTCTATCTCAGGGCTGCTGTAAATTAAAACTGACAAGCTAAGATAATTTAGCTTCCAGGTAAAATTCTCACAAAGAAGCACAACGGAACCCAACTAGAGGACAATATCAAAGTTTACGAATCCTTCTCAACAAATCCAATCTTTCTCCCCTGAAAAAGGGATAGAAGGAAATCTACAGGAAATTCCTCTATCCTAACCATCATAAAAACTTAGTTTTTATAAGAAACAGCAATGCATACTAACATAATGTTCATATTACTTATGCCAGAGCTAACATTTCTCTAATAATTTTGATAGTCTGTTAGCACCTAACATAGAAGGTATTTCATAGAAAATGTTATATGAGATATTTCAGTACACCTTTCCAAGAGTTCTTTAGACTAATAATAATAATTTATTAAATTTATATGCCACCCAATTCCCAGTGCCTCTGAAACTAGTATTCTCAGCAAAGACCATGTTAGCTGGGGAGTTCTGAGAGTTGGTCCATACATCAGGGGGGCACCCTGACTGGGAAACACAGCTTTAGGCTGTAATGTGAAGCTAATGGAAAAATGGATGTGGGTTCAGTATGTGTTCTAGCATATCTTGCGAAAGTATTGAAAATGTGTAATATATTTATATAATATTCATGCATGCATACATACTCACATACATACCCAGCTAGGAAAATGGCTTACCTGCTTGTCCTCCTCTGTATGTGGTAACCGATCTTTAGCTTTTGTTAACCACAGAAGGGCCATCTTTTTATTATTTAACTTCATGTATGTCTTTCCCAAGAACAGCAAGTTTTTACTATAGAAATTTGGCTCAACTACACAGAAATAAAAACAAACAAAAAATCCTCCAGTTTTTAGTTTGTAGTCTAAAGCTTATCTGCCTTTAATTTTTGAAAAAGCTAAGCATAGTCTCAGTACACACAGAGAGAGACAGAGACAACTTTTTACTGGGTGGTGAAGGATATCTGGTTTGGTCTGCACTGTAATAAGAATGTGTTTATTTTGTACCCACTAGGTCTATATTCAAATTATTTCTTATATGAGTACTTTTACAGATTTTGAAATGTAGTTTGGCATAAAAATGCATGTATTTTTGTTGATACAAGTATGTTTCATAGTAGGAAAAATGTGTATATTTGGTTAAATTAACATAAAAAAGAATTAATAGTTTTTTTGTGGCAGGTGGGGAAAATTAGAAACTCAGCAAGAATGAAATTGATAATTTTGCTTACCTCTATGTATTGGCAACACTTGCATGACTAACTGAAGTATGTTCTGTTGCCTCTTATGCACAAACTGCAGTGTTTGATCAAATTCCCTAAGAAGCTAGAGAAGCTTCCTTCCGCTGCCTCTATTTCCAACTAAGAATAAGTTAATTCTTAACTTGGCACTGCTGCTTTGCAGTACACAGGGGGTGGATTCTTTTAACATTTTAGGTATACCATTAAGTTTGTTTGTTTGTTTGTGTGTTAGTTCATTCATTCATTCATTCATTCATTCATTCATTCATTCATTCATTCATT